TACCAGAGAAATAAAAGCAGTTACTCAGTCATAATCTGTTCCATCACACTCCAACATGTGGCATTTTAATTTCTCCTGTGAAATACCAACTGTAGACTTCTCTCACAGATAGGACGCCTAACACTCAACTGTTGTAGGAAAGCAGAAGAAAAAATATTCTCCTTAAGCAAGAATCAAAAATTAATGGCAACTGATAGGGTAAGCTATACATAGAACCGTTTTTTTCTCTTATATTACTCAGAAAGGATATTTTATCTAGAAGAAAAATATAAAATATATGTAAAATGAAAATTTAAGATATTAACCAAAAAAGATCCATCTTCTTCCTCTCTTTGATTGGAATACTGCAGTCTTGCCTAGATGAAACTCTAACCTAAAACTGAAATGACATTTTTACTCTAAGCCCATATTCCTTTCAGCTTTTTCCTTTTAAGCTGAAGTATTTCATTCCTACTTGGTACAATGAATTTCTTGCTAAGTAATTAAAAACCAACTGTGTTTAAACCTTTTGAGATACTTAGTTTTACGCTGTGTAACTCAGGATTTGGTTTCCAAAACCTCAAATTTAGCATCTCGAGAAAGAATAGTATCTATGGCATGTTTGAAAAAATGTTTTGAAATGAAGTGATGGGCATTTAAAAATAGAATTCAGAGAGTGCATAGCTCCCTCTCCTCTTTTTTTCACTGGGGGAGGTGAATGACATATCTGCATTATGCTGCCAGAATGCTGTTTCCGTGATTCTGCTGAGTTTCACAATGGTGAAGGGAGACACAAAGACAACTTGTAATTACAGCATAGCCACTGTGAACACGCAAGCAGTGCCCAATTGACATATGCAAATTAGAAATAGAAATTACTAGCACACCTTGCTACCACCTCATCACCAGTCTTCCTTTCCTGCTCCCACTCCCTACAGCTCTGGAATGTTCTACTATACTCCTAACATCACAGGCCCCGCCCAACTGTCAGAACGTTAATTCCACACCAGTGCCCTTTCTCATGGCCACTCTTTAGGGTAACTTTGGCTAAATTTCAGATTTCAAGAATACTCGGCAATGAGAGGTACATACAGAATGGGGAACTCTGTGGACTAGCCTTGAAGTCTAACATCTGTTCATAATGCTTTCCTTCTCAGAAAAGCTATTTCAAAACCCAAGTAATTAAATTATAAGTGAAATTGTGGAAGATGAAGCAATGCCTCACTAATTGCAGTTGTTGGCAAAATCTTAATTGGGGTAAGGGAATTAGAGGGGAAAAAAATCACACAATAAGAATGACTTCACGTTTTTTAAACCCCAGATAAATGTCCTGAAAAGCAACTCCTTCCGAAACAAACCAATGTGATATAAGCATTCTGCATCAGTAGGAGGAATATATCTTTTTCAGTGTTCATGAACTACTGCTGTGTCATGGTCCACTTAGGCAGACATTTAAAGTTTAGTCAATGGGCAGATGGTATCTATTTACAAATTCTTCAAGTCGGCAGTTACAGGCTTCAACTATGCTGTGGTCGTTAGGAAGATGGGTTACCAGGTCCTCTTTCAAGGAAGATCTTGCTGCTGAGCTGCAGGGAATATGGCCAGCAGACAGCCTCTTGCTGTCAGCTCCCGCAGAGAGCCATCTCACCTGGGAGTATGCCCTTCCCAGGGCAACCGGCCTCCAGGGGGTGAGTTAAGCAGGCAAAACTCGGTTCTACCAGGTTGGCCAATCTTTGTCAGGCCTGTATCGCAGCATGACTTCTCCCTCTGCCCAATCCTGCTTTCTTCTCCCTTCCTTTCACACGTGTCTATTTCTAATAAACACTTTGCACTCTAAACTGTCTCAGTGTGTGCATCCAGAGAACACAAACCTGCTTATGACATGTCTTTTTCATTTGCATTCTCACTTCATGTTACTGCAAATCTCAGGAATGTGATTGTGTAGGCTCAAGTCTTGGAATTATTATGATACTTAAACAGCACACTTTTCAGGGTCTAGATCACTTTATTTAATGAAAGGAAGGAATATAGGTAGATTTCTCCCTGGACTATCCCACATGGTACATAGAAGAGGATATAATTATTGTCGGTAAATTCTTTTCTCTATGAAAATAGCCTATAAAACTATCAATACGAAAATGGCACACATTCAGTCATGTATTCATACCATATCGTTGACTATTGAGCAACTTCTATACACAAGGCACAGGTGAAAAAAACAGTGAAAAAGCTCTTACTCTAAAGGAGTTCGCATGCTAGTCGCTGCGACAGAAAAAATAAATCAGTAATTAACACAGCGTAATGCAATACCAGCGTCTGTGAGGAAAAATGAAAAGCAGGGTGAGACGACAGAGAATGACTGGAGAAACATCTTATTGTTTTAAAACCATAGACAGGGACGGACTGCTATAATCCATACACTGCTGGGCTTGCACAGTCACATATACATTTAGAAAGTCACTTTCCTTGACAGTATGTATCGTTCCAGTGAAGAATTCATCATGCTCGACTTTCCTAAAATAATATTTCCTCTGCATTGTGAAGTCCACCTGCTGCATGAGACATAAAATCTTAAATCTATGATACTAACCTATATAGCAATTTTGTCTTGGGGAAAGAGCAGCCCGAACCATCATAAGCCGTAGTCAGACACAGCTGTCTCAGGCAGATGGCTTTAGTGGGCAATATCATGAGCTTGCCAGGTTTTTTAAAATATGAAAGGGTTTTCTGCCTCATTAGTACTCCATGGTTGACCATCCACAAACACCTGGTGTTCATGCTTCTTCCTCTTGTGGAAATATAACTACACATAGTCTTAGCGCTAAAGGTTATATGTTATAGAATTTTTGTCCAACTAATCTAATACTTAGATAATTTACAAAAGCACCATTTGGAGAAAAACCCTTCCTCATGTAGTTTGAAATGAAAAATTGAAATCAGGACCAACAAGGAATTGGCACAGTGGCAGAAGCACATTAAATTACTTTGTCCAGAAGGAATCCCAGGTGGCCTTCACAGTTCTCTATTTACACCATCAATATAAGAATGAATGACACAAACAACAGTTTCTTTCCAAGAATAACTATGTGTATCTCTATTTTATTTTTCTTCTCATACTTGAGGAGTACTTTGTCATCAACATCTTCAACACACACATTACATAAACACCCACATTACAATGTACTTGCTAAAGGCAGGAATCAAAACATATCTACACCTTGTTCAACTCTTGTTATGACGTAAAGAGAAAAAGGAATAGACTTGGAGTTTGGAGAAGCAGTTTAAATTCGGGTACTTTGATTTATAAGCTTCTTAAAAGATTAAACTGTCCCAAGGTTATAAATTTCAGTGTTTATATTTGTAAAATGGAGATAACACCTACCCAAATACTTTACAAGGTCAGTAAAGAAATGTGTTTTAAAGTACTTGAAAACTACAAAATGATCTGCAAATGTACAGTATTTTTTTTTTTTTTGAGACAGAGTTTCGCTCGTGTCACCCAGGCTGGAGTGCAATGGCGCGATCTCGGCTCACCGCAACCTCCGTCTCCCGGGTTCAGGCAATTCTCCTGCCTCAGCCTCCTGAGTAGCTGGGATTACAAGCACATGCCACCATGCCCAGCTAATTTTTTGTATTTTTAGTAGAGATGGGGTTTCACCATGTTGACCAGGATGGTCTCGATCTCTTGACCTCGTGATCCACCCAACTCGGCCTCCCAAAGTGCTGGGCTTACAGGTGTGAGCCACCGCGCCCGGCCCAATGTACAGTATTGATATAACTAGAGTTAAGATTTAAATTTTAACATATTATTCTGATATAATTTTCAATTGATCAGTAAAAGATACTTTCATTCATTTAAGAGGTATTTATTCAGTACCTTCTGTGTTACACTATGGGGAATATTAAAAAAGATAGCTATGTCTGTTATCAAGGAGCTTACAAATCAGATTTCAGAGGGGGGAATATGGAAAAAAGATGTGGTTTTGGTTTTTGCCAATACTGAGTACTTTCTATGTGACAGATATCATTACAGCGCTTTACATGCAGTAACTCTTTTAATTTTCAAAAATCCTATGGCAGAGGTCATATTTTTATCTCATTTACAGTTTAAAAAGATAAGGCACGAGAAGTTTGGAAGCTTGCCCAAGTGTGGAATCCTAGTAAGTGTTAGAGTCAAGTCATAGACTCAGGCAAGTTGACCACGTTATATCTCAAGTTGGGCAGAAAACACACACACATATATGCGTCATTAATAATAACTAGTTGTCATCCATATGCCTTAGTATTATTAATCCTCATTAGCATGATAAATACAAAGATCATCCTGGGGAGTAGTCAAGAAAATCCTCATGATATGAAACTAAAACTAGATTCACACTTGTTTCGAGGATTCATACAGAAAAATTAAATAAAGGACTAAAACAGTATTATTTTCCGTATGTACTTTTTGAGGGTGCAATAGGTATACTTATTAATATATAACATATAGTATATATATTATATACATGGCAAATGTAAAAATACCATAAATATCTGAAATATCTCATTGAATATGTACTTTTAGAGACCATATTTCATAATTGAAACAGACTTAAAGCAATGTCTGATTACTTATCCATATAACTACCAGTCAATCCATTTTATTTAAAGAACTATAATTTAAATATTTTCCTATAATCAAGATCATTAAATCTTGGCCCATTAAAATGTAAAATAACTTGAAATAGAATATTTGATGTCTCTTCATAATAAAAAATGCCACCAGCCAAATTATTTTTAGTCTGCATAAGTAGCACTGTGTCAATTTTCCATGGTATAGAGAGGAGGCTGCCTCACTCTCTCCTTTGGATTTTTATATTTGCTATAGTTACAACATTTTATATATAGGAAAGCAATTTTGAGAGCTACTTTACAAACAGCATACAAAACAATGGCCAACAACGGTTTCTACTCATTTAAATTTCCAGCAGATCATGTACATTGGTTGCTTGTTGGTCCGGCATGTATCTGATGAAACTTACCAAGTGATACGTCTGGGCCTTTAAAACATTGAGATCAATGAAGTTTTCTTCATTATCTGTCTCTTCTTCCTTAGAAATAGAAACAAATTTTTAAAAAATTATTAAAAATTATAACTAAAAATATATTTCCAGTTTTCACCTACATGCTATAGTAAGCTATACTAAGCTTGATGTAAAGACTAGTGTAGAAAAGGATATTGAAAAGCCTAGTGAACATGTGCATAAAGGAGGGCACAATATTATTAACAGTTCGAGTGTTTTTTGAGGTTTTGATGGTACTACTACTTATTTAGGACCATTTTTGCAGTCATTAAAGAAAGGAAAACAACTGCGGGAAGGGAACAGAACAGAGCCACTGCTGGAGAACTACAGATAAATATAAAAACAGGGCAGCAAACAAACCCACGTGGCTGGCGTATTTGGCATAAATAGGAGTTAATGGATATTTTTGAGCAATATGACTGAAATGGACAAAGATGAGAGGTAGACAGACACAGAACATTCTCACTTACTCCAGGGACCAATCACATTGATCAATATTTTTGACATCTCAACTTTGCAATGTTCAAACTTGATAAAATCATGGTTAGCAGTACTGGTTGGCCCATGGTACTTAAATCTATTAAAAAGGATAGTTTAGGTGGATGCCAAGCTAATCCTAATCTGCAGACCAATTGGATATGGGGGGGGGTGGGTAGAAAGTGACCCTTTGAGAAGCAACTCTCTCCCCAATATGCAGTAAATATGGAGTCCGAGCAGGTTCTGTGAGCATGTAGGAGAAAACACGAGCTCCCCTTTTCTTCATAATGTCTGTGGTGACAAGTGACATAGTAACACAAATTTAACAAGGATATTTCAACCTTAAGGACATGGTAATGAAGCCAATGGAACTTGCTCCTCAAGTCATCAACTTATAAAGAAAAAAGAAAATGTCAGTTGGTGAACACTTCCATATGTAGAATTGTACAACGCTGTAGATTTCAAAGATAATCCTTATCCTCAACAATTTGAAAATATATAAGATACTGGGCTCTCCAAGTGTGGTTCTGAATGGAAATTCTAAGGCTCTATCCCATATCTCCTCAGAAACTATAGGGGTGGAACAACTAAGGTAAGGTATGAGAACTATGCTAAACCTTGGAGAACCAGAAAGATTTTAGTAAAATAGGAAACAATATAAATGTAGACTCCATACACTCAAGTGACATTTACTTTTTTTAGGGTGGGGTAGCAGGACAGAAGTGCAGACAAAAGTGATCACTTTGTAACTTAAAACTGAAGCAAAGGTATACACTTTTGACAAATGGCTTGGTCTAGTCTGTTTTTGCACTGGTAAGAGTCTACCTAATAACCAGAGTAAATGATTGAAATGCCAATGATTCAATGCTCATGGGAGAAGAGACAAGTTTGTAACGCTTTTACAATAGCTTGATCAGTGCTGTTTACATAGGCAATCAATAGATATTTGTTGAACTATACTAGACTGAACACTAATAAGTAAAAAGCTTTAATGGTAGGTACTAGAATTAATCAGCAACCACTATAGCTGCTATTTCTCCCACAGCCAGAATTTACAGGTCCAGAAATCAAGGGATGGGAATGGGAGTGTAACCACTTGCTGTTACCCCCAGAAGCCCGCTAGCAAAATTCTTGCTTCCTGTTCCTATCTTATGCTTTGCTGGCCTAGAAGTCTGAGTTCCAAAAGGAAGAATTCTTCAACCAGGAGATTCTTCAGCAATGATTTGATTGAACAGGAAGTTAAGACTACCACCTGGCCACTTTGGGCTCCTCAAACCTCTGAATCAACATAGCAAAGAAGGTAATTACTGTACTGACTGGCATGACTGATCCTATTAACAGGACATTGGACTACTCCAGAATGGAAGGAAGAGTATTCTAAATACAGGATGATCCTTTAAGGCACGGTATTACCATACCCTGTGATTAAAAGTTAACAGAAAACTACAACAACCAAATCCAGGCAGGTCTAATTAATGGCCCAGATCCTTCAGGAATAAAGGTTTGAGTCACCCCACCAGGTAAAGAGTGATAACCAGCTGAGGGAATACAGAATAGGTAGTGAAAGATGGTAGTTATAAACACTAACTACAAGCATGTGACCAGTTACAGAAATGAGCAGTGATTGTCATGAGTATTTCCTGTTATGAATATATTTGTATTTTTGTTTTCCTTACTCTCTTACTCCATTATCATGTAACCTAAGATGTACTGACTTTACATCATAGTATTTAAGTATTGTTACTTTTACATTATAATATTTAGGTGATATCAAGGAGAAGTAAACATCACTTATGAACTTTTTCTCCTTTGGGATTACAGCAATATCTGTTGTATGCAGAACAGTCACATTCCATTGGATGTAACTATGACCTTGCTATGCATGGTCCTTATTTGAAGATTAAGAAGTTGTATATGAGAGCTAAGTTGACAAAGGGTCGACTTTTGGTGGTTAATTTTGTATGTCAATTTGAGCTACGAGGTTCTTTGGTGTTGGTTAAACATTATTCAGAGTGTGTCTGTGAGGGTGTTTCTTGATGCGATAATAATGGAATCAGCAGACTGAGTAAAGCACATTGCCATCATCAATGTGGATGGGCTTTATTTAATCCACTGAAAGCCTGAACAGAACAGAAAAGCTGAGAAAGAGAATTTATTGTCTTTGCCTCATTGTTACTAAAGACATTAGCCTTCACTTGCCTTCTGACTTGGACTGAAACAAACTATCAGCTCAGCTCTCCTGGTCCTCAGGCCTTCAGACTCAAACTGAAACTACCATCACCTATACTGGGTCTCCAGCTTGCTAACTATGGATCTTGGGACTTCTCAGCCTCCATAACCATGTGAGCCAATTCCTTAGTCGTGTGTGTGTGTGTGTGTGTGTGTGTGTGTGTGTGTGTGTGTACCTCCTATTACTTCTATTCCTCTGGAGAACCCAAACTAATTCACAGAAAAAGGATTTAAGTTACTAAGTATTATTGAGAGCACTAAAGAGGAATTCAAATGTAAGCAGGATTAGAAAATTATTTTTCAAACTATTAGAATATATTAGGATTCTAATCTCAGTAATTCAAAAGGCACTCAAAAATTTCCTATTTGTCTAATAAACCCTCTTAATTCTGACTGCCAATTAGCATGGATATGATTACATACAACAGGTGGGAATGTATCGTTATGGCCAACAAATTTATAAAAATAATTATTGTGTCCTAGCTTAATATGAGCAGTCCGAAATTGAAGGTTACTAGTTTCTAGATGATTATAGCAGAGCTCTGACTGTCAGAAATCATTTTTTTTTGAGACAGAGTCTTGCTTTGTCACCCAGTGGTGCAATCTCAGCTCACTGCAACCTCTATCTCCCAGGTTCAAGCAATTCTCTTGCCTCAGCCTCCCGAGTAGCTGGGACTACAGGCACGCACCACCATACCTGGCTACTTTTTGTATTTTTGTAGAGATGGGTTTCACCATGTTGACCAGGCTAATCTCGAACTCCTGACCTCAAGTGATCTGGTTGCCTCGGCCTCCCAAAGTGCTGGAATTACAGGTGAGGGCCACTGCGCCTGGCCAACCTTTACCATCCTTGAGCAACGCCACAAACTCAGACAACAGAATCAAGTAACATCCCACCATCAATAGGCTTTTAGGTGGTGACCCAGTCCTCCTTAGAGAGAGGAGTAGAAGTAACAGAGGACCCCTTAGAATAATATGATGACAATAAAGAAGAAAAGAAATTCAAGAGACATTATGCAAGGGAATGAACAGCCACAGGGCCAACCCCTTTGAGGAAAGCCTTCAGTTTGCTCTTATGATAGTAGAAGGTCTTCACCTCATGGCTGGGAAGAAATGTGTGAGGAAGTGGCTTTCCAGTATACTTCTCTAAATTCACACTCCCAATAATGGCACCTTGAACTTTAAAGGTTTCCTAACTTTAAAATGAGCTATAGTTTCTAAATGTAACACAATGATGTGCTGACAGTTTGATTTTATGGTCAAATATTTAATGAATATATACTATGCACCAGGCCCTGCACAATAAGCGGGAGACACACAGTAAGAAAAATTAGACATGGTTTCTGCCCGCGCAGATATTTTTCTCCTGACTAGTGGGTTTGTTTTCCTTTATTCCCCAGACTAGCAGTTTTGAGCTATATGCCTTTGAAGTTAAATGTTAAAGTACTTTGCTAATGTACTAGGACCAGGTATCTGTCGATAAACTATTCATAACTATTAAATAGTTAGTAAGAAGACAAGAGGAGGGAATAAATGAGTTGAACCTGAGAAGAATAAATGAGGTGAACTGGAAATATATGAGTACTTAATTTCTGAGCTTGAATGGAAAGATCTGCTATACAAAGAATAAAGTCTAAACTAATTTTCATGCCCAAGCAATCTGAACTTGGTCTGTCTCCCCAGTTAATCTTATGTCACCCTCCCATTCACTCAGGAGCTCTGGCCACAGCAGTTTACTCTTAGATCCTTGATCATGCTAAGCTTCTTCCTGCCTTCAAAGCTTTGGCACATGCTACACAGCCAGGGCCTTGCCAATGCCTGCTTAGTAGCACGTGCTCAATACGTATATGCAGAATGAATATATATATATATATATCTGTCTTGACTTTTAAAATTGATCACATTCAAAAAATCTTTTAAATTGATAAGTTTTATGATGGTCTTTTTCCTTCTGTAACAGTCATCGTATTTTACAAATATTGTTTAAATAATGTTTGCATTGCTGTTAAAAAATACATGTTAAAAACCTTAAAAAAACCATCAATTTTTTTTACATATATTGTTTAAATAATGTTAACTGTAACAGTCATCTTTTTTCATATTATTTAAATAATGTTTACATTGCTGCTAAAAAATACACGTTAAAAACCTTAAGAATACAAAGCATAGAAAACAATCATCCCTAATTCTTCTACCTATATATAATTAATGCTAATATAATAATTTTAAACATATTTTACATAATTAATATCATAATAACATAAAATTTGGAATCCTCTCAGTTAATTTTATAGCATACAGCAGAGTATAAGTTACATTCCCATGTCAATAACATTTCTTCGTAAACTTTTTTTAATAGAGACACTCAGGCTGCAGTGCAGTGGCATGATCATGGCTTACTGCAGCTTCAAACTTCTGGGCTCAAGTGATCCTCCCACCTCACCTTCCTGAGTAGTTAGGACTATAGGTATGCACCACCACACATGGCAGTTTTTTTTGTTTTGTTTCGTTTTTTTGGCAGAGATGAGGATTCACTATTGCCCATGTTGATCTCAAACTCCTGGCCACAAGCAATCCTCCTGCCGCAGGCTCTCCCAAAGTGCTGATATTACAGGTATGGGTCAGCATGCCCACTCAACAATTTGTAATGGTATGGTTTGGAAAAATGTTCCCTTCTCTGTCTCTTGCTCCTTCTCTGGCCATGTGAGATGACTGCTCTCACTTTGTCTGACCACGATTGTAAGCTTCCTGAGGCCCTCACCAGAAGCAGATGCCATTGCTACACTTCTTGTATGGTCTGCAAAACTGTGAGCCAAAATAAACTTCTTTTCTTTATAACTTACCCAGCATCTCAAGCATTCCTTTACAGCAACACAAAATGGACTAATATAAATGGCTATATAATTTTCTATTCAGATAGCATCTAATCTATTTAATGGTTATTTTTCAGTACTTGCTATTAAAATTATGCAGTGATTAAAACCTCTATAGCATATACTAACTTAAATGCTATATTAACCTAAATGCTAAACTTCAATTACTTAATAACTTATTTTAAACTAATTTTCTATTGATTTAAAAAATCATCTAAAATTTTAATTGGTTTATGACAGCAAAATATAGTTGATCCTTGAACAACAAGGGTTTGAACTGCATGGGTCCACTAAAACACAAATTTCTTTCACTTCTGCCACCCTTGAGACAGCAAGACCAACCTAACCTCTTGCTCTTCTTCCTTAGGTGACTCAATAGGAAGACAGGCAAGATACTTTTATGATTCTCCACTTCCACTTAATAGTATATACATTTTCTCTCCCTTATGACTTACTTAGTAACATTTTCTTTTCTCTAGCTTAGTGTTAGAATACAGTATATAATACATAGAACTTTACAAAATATGTGTTTACTATTTACATTACTGGTAAGACTTCAAGTCAAGAGTAGGCTATTAGTAAAGTTTTTGGGAGTCCAAAGTTATACATGAATTTTCTTTTCTTTTTTTTTTTTTTTTTGAGACAGAATTTCACTCTTGCTGCCCACGCTGGAGTGCAATGGCATGATCTCAGCTCACTGCAACCTCTGCCTCCCAGGTTGAAGCAATTCTCCTGCCTCAGCCTCCTGAGTAGCTGTGATTACGGGCATGTGCCACCATGCCCAGCTAATTTTTTTTGTATATTTAGTAGAGATGGGGTTTCTCCATGTTGGTCAGGCTTGTCTAGAACTCCCAGCCTTAGGTGATCCACCCAACTCAGCCTCCCAAAGTGCTGGGACTGCAGGTATGAGCCATTGCACCCAGACTGTGGATTTTCAACTGTGTCGGGGCCAATGACCCCTAACCCCCACATTGTTCAAGGGTCAGCTGTATACTATAAAGTTGGTTTCTTTCCCCCACCATTTCTGCTTCAGATCACAGGTACACTTCCTAAAATACCAGGGTCAATCTAATTCTAGTTCTGAGAATTATCTTGAGAAAAAGTTCTTTTGTCTCTGTCATCTGTAGATTCACACTATGGATGATATGTGAAGCATGTAAAAAGGTCCAGATTCTGCCAAACAACTTAAATAATGTTGATTATTTAAAAGCATTTAAAAAAATTCCTACTTATCCTAATTGCAGATGAATAAAGGAATTCCTTAGAAATGAACAATATTCATATAAAGCAGAATGTAAGAATCCTCAATTATATTGTTCTGTTTAAAACTCTTTATTAGTCACAGTCTATTTAAGATCATGACTGGTTGTTAATACAGTATTTACTCATATAACCAATGGTATATATTTCCATGAACAGTTTAAGAATCTCTGCTAAAATTCAGACCTCAATCATTAGAGAATACAAACATTAACTTAACTAAAGGTCTAAATGACAATACTTAGTACTGTATTTAAAAGCTTTTCATTTTTAGAAACAATGACATAAAATACATTCCTGATAATGGAAGTCTGGGGGAAATTAAGAGAATGGAAAGGGGCCTAAAGGTGAAAATGAACAGAAAGTTCAGCTACACACATACCACAAATTCTTCATCCACTTTATTTAATGTTAATTCTGCATCATCTTCTGCAACACTTTCTTCTTCTAATTCTTCTACTGGGTATACTGGCCTAAAATAATAAGGTTAAACATGAGATGAGAATTTTAATATTTAGTAAGACAAAAAAGCATAATGCAAATATCTCCTCTGTGTGCCAGGTTTTGTCCTTTTTCACTCCTTTTCCATAATCACTGTTGAATATTTCATGCATTTTCCCTAAAACTTTCTATGTAAAAAGGAAAAGTATTTATCTCCAAATTTACAAAAAAATGAGTTGATACTATGCATGGTGTTAGCCCACGTAATGCTTCTCACCAATACACCATATTTAAATACGTATGTATTTCTCATTTTTTACATGCTTACACTGTATTTCATTGAACAATCAGTACCATAATTAATGTAATTGGCAGCCTATGACTAAACATGGAGGTTTCTAGGTATTTTGCTAGACAATGTTGCAAAGATCATTTTTGTACATTTATCATTATATATACCATTTAGAATAAATTTGTTCATGTGAACTGGCTGGGTAAACAACTTTCTACATATTATTGTTTTGCTATATACTGCCAAAATTGGCTTTCAAAATGTTACCCTAATTTAGACTGCCAACAACAGTGAAGGAGAGTGACTCCATTTCCATATATTCACCATATATATCATTATATGATGTATAACACAAATTTTAATCTTAGCTAATCAACTAAATAAAATCTCACTCTTGTTTTAACTGCATTTCTTTGGCATGAAAGTGATTAAACATCTTTTCATATTTTAATTGGTTATTTTCACATCTTTTTTGGTGAAGTGTCTATTAATACCCGTTACTTTTTGGCTTTTTGTATATTAAGAAAATTAATGTTTTGCCTAGCCTCTCAAAAATAGTTACCCTAGAGTATTACTTATAACCTTGGCTATTGAAGATTGTTATAGTTCTTATTAGATGAACTTGGTAAACTTTTCTTGCACAGACCCTAGCTTTAACATCATATATTTGAGGCTTTCTGTCATACCACAACCCCTGTACTCCTCTAGTCTTTTAATACTTCTACAGTTTTACTTTTCATATTTATATCTCTGATCAATCTGAAGTTTATTTTAACATAGGTAATAAGAAGGTTTCCAGCTTTCTTCTTATTTCCAAAATCTAATTAGTGGTCCTAACATTGAGCATTGAAAAATCATTTCTTCATCAAGATTAATGACACATTTTCTATAATAAAAGTATTCAAATGTATTTGGGCTTATTTGTGAAAACTTATTTTATTTTTTCCTTTTTTCTCCAGTAACAAAGCTAGAGAGAGAGCTTATATTAACTACTAGTACCTGGCTGGGTGTGATGGCTCACGCCTGTAATCACAACACTTTAGGAGGCCGAGGTAGGCGGATTGCCTGAGATCAGGAGTTTGAGACCAGCCTGGTCAACATGGCAAAACCCCATCTTGACAAAAAAATGAAGAATTAGTTGGGAGTGGTGGTACGCACCTGGAGTCCCAGCTATGTGGGAGGCTGCAGTGGGAGGATGGCTTGAGCTCGGCAGGCAGAGATTACAGTGAGCCATGATCATACCACTGCACTCCTGCCTGGGCAACAGAGTAAGACCCTGTCTTAAAATCAAAAATCCGTGCCTCAATCATGATAACAAAATACAAAAATCCACATTTACTATTATGCAAAGTATTGTAAACCAAATCAATCATCTTAAATAATAAATTTCCTAATTTTTCATTTATTAGAATTAGAAAATATCTCAAAAGCAATATTCTTCTAGAATTCATTTTGACATATTTAGATATATGAAAAATTCAGCTATATGTCACGTCTCTCATTTACACGTTATATAGCTGATATATTCTCTAATGTTGATTACTTTTCAGCTCCCTTCTTTTAGTCCTCATTTATACACAATCCTCATGAGTTATCTAAATCATAGACTCTTCAAAAAATGGTGCTAAAAAACAAAAAAAGAAAAAGAAATGGTGCTGGGAAAACTGGATATTCACATGCAAAAGAATGAAACTAGACCCCTACCTCTAACCACTTACAAAAACCAACTCAAAAGGGATTAAAGACTTAAATACACAATCTGAAACTGAAAATGCTAGAGGAAATGTGGGGAAAAACACTTCATGACCTTGTCTGGATAAGAATTTGCTGGGTAAGACCTCAAAAGCACAGGCAACATAAGCAAAAATAGACAAACACGATTACATCAAACTTAAGGAAACAATCAAGAGTGAAGAGACAACCCACAGAATGGGGAAAAATATCTGCAAACCACCCATCTGATAAGTTAACACCCAGTATGTATAATTAACTCAAGCAACTCAGCAGCAAAACAACAACAAAAAACTAACTACTCCAATTTTTTAAATGGGCACAAAATCTTAATAGACATTTCTCAAAACTTGCATAAAAATAGCCAACAGATATATGCAAAAATGCCCAACATCATCAGGGAAATGCAAATCAAAACCACAATGAGATACCATCTCACCCCAGTTAGAATGGCTATTACTCAACCCCTCGCCCCCACAAATAAGAAAAGCTGGTGAGGATATGGAGAAACGGGAACCCTTGTACACTATTGGTGGGTATGTATATTATTAGTACAGCCACTATGGAGAACACTGTGGAGGTTCCTCAAAACACTAAAAATAGAACTACTCTATGATCCAGCAATCCTAGTACTGATTATATATCCAAAAAAAAAAAAAAAAAAGAAATCAGTATGTTAGAGATGTCTGCACTCCCATGTTTACTGCAGCACTATTCACAATACTCAAGATATGGAATCCAACCTAAGTGTCCATCAAAGGTTGAATGGAGAAAGAAAATGTGGTATATTTACATAGTGGAATACTATTCATAAAGGAGAATGAAATTCTATCATTTGTAGCGACCCGCATAAGCCTGGAGGACATTAGGTCAAATGAAATAAGCCAGGCACAGAAATACAAATATCACAGAAGTGGAGAGTATAATAGTGGTTATCATAAGCTGGGAAGGGTAGGGGAAAGGAGAATGGGGAGCAGTGGTCAAAGTGGGTGAGTACAAAGTTACAGTTAGGAGGAATAAGTTCTAGTGTTCAATGCACAGCAGGGTGACTACAGTTAACAATATTATATATTAGTTAACAATAATATATTATATATTTGAAAATAGCTCAAAGAGATTTGGAATGGTCTCACCACAAACAAATGATAAACGTTTGACATGATGGACATGTTAATTTCACTAACTTGATCATTGTATATTGTATACATGTATTGAAACATCACACTGTACCCCAAAATTTGCAGTTATTATGTGTCAAAAACAAAACTAAAAAATAAATTATCCAAATTACAATACATAAGCCAGGAATAAGATGTGTCAAGAAACAAAGGAAGTGCAAAGTAGACTAGTGGTTGAGATATCATACAATAGCTTCCGGCGAACTTAGAATATATTGGGATATGGATTTAGTAATTTTTGAAAATAGTAAATACAGCAGCACATCTCATAACCTATCTTCTCTTGAATGTTTGGATTGAAGCATATGAAATTGCCATGTTTTAATTTAAAAATAGATGAATATGAGTAATTTCATATGGCTCATCCCAATAACCTAATTCAAGGAAGTTATTAAAGAAACTTAATAGGGAGATTGTATCTAAAAGAATATAACTGAATATACATTAAAATGTTAACAGAAAATAATATATATATATCTTTCTACAGAAGTTAGTTCTGATTAAAAAAACACTGCTTACTCACATTTTACCTGAATAGCGCCTTCTACATTCTAACCTATTAATAATCCCAAACTGCAGAGCATAAAATTTATATTTTCTAATTATAATCTCTTTAAATTGAGTTTTCAAATGTTCTGTTTCATCTATGTGCTCAGTATCTATTAAACATCTAAGATACACCACACATTATGCTAACTTCCAGAGTACTTGCAAAGATTTCATAATTTCTAGCAAGAATGTCAGAACAGTAAAGAAATAACAATTTTAATACCATAGGATAAATGCAATATAATAAGAGAAATAAAGCACTGTCAAGTTGGACACAAAAGCAATGAACAATGTCTAGGAGAGGGTCAGGTAGTTTCTTCATTATTCCTGCCCAGTAACTGTAAGGAGAAAATCCCACTTAAAGTACTATATTAATTTCCATTTTTCCTTAAATCTGTAGCTATCAGCTCCCTCCGTGTATATACTGTGTTTATGTATATAAATATATGTACAAGAGACTTTTAAAAATAACAGAATTTACAAAGATATATAGTCACAGTTAAACCTTCAATAATTACATATTTGAATAGGGAAGAGGCAAAATAATATGTAACGCCTTACTTCAGAATTAATTTGCGAGACATCAGACATTCTAATTTTGTCTATACTGGCTTTTCTTAATTATCTGTGGCATTTTCAATTTAGAATAGTCAAAAAGAAATAATTATTTTATGTTTAATTGAACAGCTCTGCACCCTCAGAGGAAAATTCTATGCACATAAAATTACTATTATCAGGTTGGGTTATTTTTACCTTTTCCAGGTGAAACCAATATATTTCAATGCTTCTTCAGCTAAGCAGTCAAGAACATAGCATACATGTTCCCCACAACCTGTCTTTAATTTTGAAGGAGGAAAATCTGCAGTTCTTCCCTGAAAAACAAAAGATAAAACAGGGTGTTATTTGTTAGTTATACTCCAAATATCAAAATATTTTAAGCAAAGAACTGCTGAACAGATGCATCACTTTTCTTTCAAAGATTTACAATAACTGTAATTACATTGTTTCTTAGAAATCCATTTTAAGTCTTTGTAATCCATTGATACATAAAAGTACTGGAAATACTTTTATTGTTAAAGGTATGAAATTAAAAGGTAATAACATCATAGCATCATAGCACATTGATGTGGGTGAGTACAAAGTTACAGTTAGGAGGAATAAGTTCTAGTGTTTTCTAGTCTAATTATTGATCTTATTAGAGGGAAAATGAAACCAGTAAAACCATTTAAACAACTATGTTTAAGGACAGAATGATTCGCTTGTCAAAAATTAGTAAGATTTGTGCCAAAAATATCTTACTGCCTACCCAGGAAAAGTCAGAAATGAAAAAGTACTGCTATCACGGTGTTAAGTCCAAGTTCCCTTTCAGAATAGAAAGTGTTTTGACTTTATAGGGTTTAATTATCATTTTTTAGATCAAGAATTAACCACCCAAAAGTCTACCTCTCAGACACATCAAGATTTTTTTTAAAAAATACTACTTTGGGCTAATAAAGAGTATACACTGAACGTTTTCAGAAGTGACATTAATGTTATAACATCAACTATTTTGAGGCTTTACCTCAAAATGAACTCATACATAATTATATTTACAGAGAAGTCATCAAATGGCTAGCATTTTTTATTAAATTACCAATATTAAAATTCATAACTTGAGAATATGGAGAAAGAATGGTCGTTTACACTTACAAATGACCGAAGCTCGGAAAGTATGTTAGATATTGTTGCATTAGGGTCATCATATTCTTGAGGCTGTTCAAAGGGATGTCCTGCTTTATTAATCAGCCAGGCAGCAAGAGTACAAAACATGTAGAACTGTTCGCCAGGGTTGGTAGGGAGTGCAAAATAGTGTCTGCTTCAAAACAAGGAGGAATGGGAGTGGATGTGAAATAATGCAAATAAATCTCTAAATAATGCAAATAAATCTATAATAACTAACAGGGCCAAATTCACAATTGCCCAACAACCTTTCTTTCCCCAACATGGCTGTCAAATCAAAAGACCTTGAGAATTCACCCTTTGAAGTTTCCAGTAATCCACAGCACTCACATTAAAGTTGTTAAATCAGCAGGATTAGGGCCATTACTACTGTATCCAAAATATTAGATCAAAGACCTTACACCCAGGACATGTAGTGCATGTTAGAACACAGAGTACGTAGAATTTTTGCCAAAAAGATTTAAGTGTTAGGAATAATATGTGAGTACCTTATGAATGAAAATGGTAACTTAGAAGAATCTCAGTTTGAAAAAGATCTCAAAGATTACTTATTATGCATGTTTACCATTTCCAACCTATTACCATGGTATTCATTTGTTTTTATCTTGGCTGCATATTCAATCACCTGAGGAGCTCATAAAAATACTGGTACTTGGCCATACATTGCTCCTTCCCTCATGAATGAATTAAATCAGAACATCTGTGAATGTAGACCCAGTATGAGGTATATTTCAGGTATATTTCAAAAGCTTCCTACATGTTCATAAGGTGTAGTCAGGATTAAGAACCTGTGAATGTCACATCACCAGTGTAACAAACATCTGTAGGCTCCTGCTTAATCCCCTGGTTTACTAAACACAGTTCTATGAGAATCAGTATGATTTATACCAAAACATTATAGGAATAAGACTCACTAGCAACAACATTTAAGTCAGTTTAATCAAAGATCTTATTCTTCTTGTTCATGTGCAGCTACCATTATTATGTTTACAGTGTATTTACAACTATTATAACCATTGTCATAAGAAAGTTATGTACTCCTTCATGTTTCCCAAACTTTTTCCTGCAGTATAAATATTCTGGAAGATAAAAGAATGCTGGAAAGGAAAAAGGCCATGAAGTCCTTCCAGGTATATGCTCACTACCCTTTCAAAGCACCCATCCATCAAAAAGTCATCTTTTCCTTACCGGCAGATAACTCCCCTAGGACAGAGGAAGGAACACCAATAGATACTGTAAGCCTAGGACAGTGGTTCTCAAACATTAGTATCCATCAGAATCATCTGGAAGGCTTACTGAAACAGACTGCTAGCCCCCCACTCCTATAATTACTGAAAAGGTAGACCTGGGAGAAAAGAAGAATTTCATTTCTACTAAGTTCCCAGGTGATGCTGATGCTGATGCTGTTGGTTTGATGATCACACTTCGAGAACTAATGGACTAGGATGTCTCCACACAAATCCTTGATTCAAAGTATCCAGCTGAACCCCTGGGGACACAGTGCAAGAGATGACATCAACAGAACCTGAAGGCCATTTTCTTTTCATTTGAAAAATATACTTGGAAAAAAATGCCTTTTTATTAACATAGGAAATGTTGGTTGTCTATATTATCCTGATCAGTTCACTTTCAGTAATAATCCCAAGACTACCTTTTTCTAACATGGGTCAAGCAACGCTACTTTTTCCTCTATCTTTTCTCCTACCATGGACTAATTTAATATGAAAAGTTTACATAAAGCCTACATATCTTTCAATTCAAGTTATTGTAAGAGAGTAGTGGAATGAAACTAAAACTGTCAAGGGAAATTATTTGAGCCTGGCTGTAGACATTAAGTGCTATAGATTCTTAATATTGATTGCCTTTTATGGAATAAACAAATGTAAGTAATAAGTGAAGAAAAGGCTATAAAGCTGATTTATCTGACTATTGCTAAGCTACAGTGATTTGAGGAGAAGGTCCTAGCTGACCACTACCCTCAGCAAGTAATGGCATCGCTTTCAGGATATGTTGGACTTTGCCCCGGCCGGAACAAGGGTAGAACTTTAGTTTCTATGATACGGGACAATTCATTAGTTGTCATTTGTCTTTTCCACTTTTCAGTTTCTGAGAGTATGGTTATTGCAAAGGCAGAAGTCTTCTAAACCATAGCAAGTAGTCAACAAGTTTACTAACCGCATTTAAAGTGCTCCTTAACAGGGTCCTAAGTACCCACGGTCCGCAGTTGTAGGAAAAGGGTCTTAAACAACAATAACAACAAACCCAAACTAGAATAAAAGCCTTAAATGATAATGGCATTCCTCTCTGGAGACGAGATCTTGGGCGGTTTTATAATTTTTCTACACATTTTCTTGTGTTTTTCTGAGTTTTCTACAATGAGTATTTGCATTACCTTTATAATCAGAAAATACAGTTTGTGTTTTGTGGTAATGCGTGTGTGTTTAAAAAACAGGTAAGCTGTCTTCCAATCCTTTCTGCCGTTCCCAAACTTATTTATTTTCTCTATAAAAAATACCAAGTCAGGGCTGCGTGAGCTCCACGACCCTCCCCGGAGTTTGCGGTGAAGTACCCTCCCCCGGCTAGGAAGACTGAGGCACGGAATTGCTAACCCGCGCTCACGGAATTGGCTCCCAGCAGGAGGCACTCAGGCGATCGCGAACGCGGGTACCCACCTGGATGGGGCCTTCAGGTTGCTCTTCCGGAGGAACTCCTCCTCGAAGCGGAGCAGCTTCAGTTTCTCCACCAAGTCCTCCATCACCACGAACATGTGGTAGGCCGCGCCGGGCCCCCGCTCCACGACCACTTCCCCGGCCCCTTCGCCACGCGACCTAGGCACCCCATCTTCCAAACCCGATGTCGTGACGACGGCCAGGGCAGCAGTCATCGCAGGACGGAGAGTCCAGCGCGGGATCGGGCCCCAGACCTCTGGACTACGCCAGCGCCCTGCTGCCACCAGTACAGCCAAGACGGGTTACCAGGCGACCACCGGACAACCCGTCACCAGGGAAACTGGACTCCGCCTCCTTCCCTCCAATCAGGGTGGCTTTCCGGAATGACGTCACCTGTGACCCGCTTCTTGCCCCTCCTCTGCGGGAGGAAAGGTGGCTGGGAAGCAGCCCCGCCCCTCGTGGAGGCGGGGCGTTTGCGCCACACTCCCAGCTGCATCTCCTCCCTCGGCCTTTGGAAGACAGAGGGTGGAAGACAGAGGAGGGGCTGTTTTCCTTTCTGCTCTGCTTGCCTGGTTACCGCACTGGCGTGAGGTGTGTTGGACCTGGTGGTTGCTAAAGGCAGCTAAGCGGGCATCTAGGTCAACTGGTAGCTGTTAAAACGATTAAAGGGAGAAGAAGGCGGGCAGTTTAGAAGGCTGGACTGGCCCACTGATACCTTTATTTTCTCAGAATTGAAAAGTTTTTCATAGTTGTAAAGACAGCCGATACCACAGGGTTGACTTTCACTGCAGGAACTTTCCAGCAAGAGGTTTCTCTCGTTCTTTATTTTTTTAACTTTTTTTCTCACTAGGCAGTGCTGTGCCTAACAGTGTATTATAAAGCTTGAAGTACTGTATGACATTGCCTGGCTATTATGTTACTCCAGCGCTATGAAAGTGCTTGGAAGGACGAGGAAAAAGACAACGAACAAAGGAGCGGTTTGGAAGGATTTGTTTTACTTCAAAAACAAGAACACTAAGCTTCCATCCTTCTGCTTAATCTGCTTCAAACCCATTAATGTAGTATAAAGTTTTGGGGTACCTCGCTAAATCCAACAGAATAGAGATGGTCTTAAAAGGAATTTCCCTGCCCTAAAGCTCTAAATTTCCGTGCCCTGAAGTGTGGCTGAAGACAGGGTGTTACTACTGTGTTCTACAGTTACTGACCTAGAAAATTCAAGAAAGGGGACATAACTGACCACAGAAAGGGCCCCGCTTTGCAGTTTTCAAAAGGTTTGTGTATCAGGCAATTTTCTATTTTTTTTTTTTTTTTTTTTTTTTGAGATTTTGGGTTGAGACTATTTGATTTTCTTTTTTTTTTTCCCATTTATTTATTTTATTGCATTTTAGGTTTTGGGGTACATGTGAAGAACATGCAAAATTGTTGCATAGGAACACACGTGGCAGTGTGATTCGCTGCCTTCCTCCCCATCACCTACATCTGGCATCTCTCCCCTTGCTATCTCTCCCCAGCTTCCCACCCCCCACCGTCCCTCCCCTATTTCCCCCCAACTGACCCCAGTGTGTAGTGCTCCCCTCCCTGTGTCCATGTGTTCTCATTGTTCAACACCCGCCTATGAGTGAGAACATGCGGTGTTTGATCTTCTGGTCTTCTGTCAGTTTGCTGAGAATGATGGTTTCCAGGTTCATCCATGTCCCTACAAAGGACCCAAACTCATCGTTTTTGATGGCTGCATAATATTCCATGGTGTATATGTGCCACATTTTCCCTATCCAGTCTATCGTCGATGGGCATTTGGGTTGGTTCCAGGTCTTTGCTATTGTAAACAGTGCTGCAATGAACATTCGTGTACACGTGTCCTTATAGTAGAACGATTTGTAATCCTTTGGATATATACCCAGTAATGGGATTGCTGGGTCAAATGGAATTTCTATTTCTAGGTCCTTGAGGAATCGCCACACTGTCTTCCACAATGGTTGAACTAATTTACACTCCCACCAACAGTGCAAAAGTGTTCCTATTTCTCCACATCCTCTCCAGCATCTGTTGTCTCCAGATTTTTTAATGATCGCCATTCTAACCGGCGTGAGATGGTATCTCAGTGTAGTTTTGATTTGCATTTCTCTGATGACCAGTGATGATGAGCATTTTTTCATATGTTTGTTGGCCTCACGTATGTCTTCTTTTGAGAAGTGTCTGTTCATATCCTTTGCCCACTTTTGAATGGGTTTGTTAGTTTTTTTCTTGTAAATCTGCTTTAGTTCTTTGTAAATTTTGGATATCAGCCCTTTGTCAGATGGGTAAACTGCAAAAATTTTTTCCCAATCTGTTGGTTGCCGATTCACTCTAATGATTGTTTCTTTTGCTGTGCAGAAGCTGTGGAGTTTGATTAGGTCCCATTTGTCTATTTTGGCTTTTGTTGTCAATGCTTTTGGCGTTTTGGTCATGAAGTCCTTGATCAGGCAATTTTCTTAACAGTTGCAAAAAGTGACGTAAGTGGTAGATGCCTGGTAGTTTTTTGGAAAAAAATACAAGAGGTTGAACATGTGTTCATGTTTACAACGTGACTTTTAAGGACTCTCTGATCTCTTGTATCTGCCACTACAAATTATAGAAGGGCCACATGTTTGGATAACTGAAAATTGAGATGTTATCTACAATATCCTGTTTTTGTTAGAAAAATGAGAACACACTTTTCGTTTTAATCAGTCTACAGCTAACTTGTTTCTGACACTACTAAGGTTATCAAGGTGAAAAGTCAGAAAGGCAAATACCGTTTCTATTCATTAAAGGAAGTACATAAAATTACTGACTTATCTAGAGAATAACCTGAACAGGAAGCCCACTGAAAATTGCTTTTTAAATAAATAACATTGTTTGCCTAACACAGGTCACGAGCCAGCTGCTTTTAATAAAGCTGAGTGAGAAAATTGGGTTTCATGTTACTACACTACCAAATTGATCTTTCCTGGGTTTTTTGCCTTTTTGGAACAGTGATTCTCCCTGATATGTCCATACCCCCAATCAACACCACATGTGCAGGGCTGGGGTGTTATATATCTGTATAACAGCCACAGTAGTGTAAGATAGAGGTATGGCTTTAGAAGACTGAAAAATGAAAGCTTAGCTATATGTTTTGGGGTCCTAAGTTAACCAACAAGCCAACTGTGGCTTTGTAAATGACTCTCAAAAAGCTCTCGGATTTGGAAGTAAATTTATTACATTCAGGGAGATATTCTTGCAGGGCATGCTGCTTGCTTACGATGTGCTGACATTTTCAGGAAGTTACGTAACAGTATCAAATAGTCAAACGTTGATTTTTGGCTGATAAATCCCCCAACAACGTATGCATTTTAACTTGGGGGAAACAAAACGACTCCCAGAGCCTTAGCCATTTCCTTCCCAGGTACAATACTGATGCAGGCTGGCCTGAAAGCAGTATAAAGAATAATTTCCCCCCCTTTAATTGTGAAGAAGAAAATAAAAACAAAAATATAAAGTATTTTCAGTAATTGTGGCACAAAGAGAACGAGAAAGCTGACTCTTCAATGCTGCATGTTTCTCCAATAAAAAATGTTTGAAGGAACACTGGAATGTCATTGTTTTATAAAGCGCAGGGATGATTTTGCTGACTCCTTGTTTACCCGTAATAGTTTGTAACACATCAAAACGTCTTTTCCTTGATAGTTTTCTTCATGTGAGTGTAAATGCACTCCAATCCTCTTCTAGCTGTTTCAGCCACTTGGAAGCTTTGGGGATTATTTTATATTCCATATTTTTTGTTGTTTTTGTTTTTGTTTTGCAGGACTAGCTTATTTGTTGACTACGGAGTCAGAGCCTGAAGAGAATGAGCCATGGTCATTCTTCCTGTAAAGAATCTCAATTTCATTCCTGGTTTTATTACAGTGACCACTTTCTTTTTCTTTGGTTTTTTTTTTTTTTTTTTTTTGAGACAGAGTATTACTCTGTTGCCAGGCCCCAGGCTGGAGTGCAGTGGCACAATCTCGGCTCACTGCAACCTCCGCTTCTCGGGTTCAAGCAATTCTCCTGCCTCAGCCTCCTGAGTAGCTGGGACTACAGGTGCACGTCACCATGATCAGCTATTTTTTTTCTTTTTGTATTTTTAGTAGAGATGGGGTTTCACCATGTTGGCTAGGATGGTCTCGATCTCTTGACCTCGTGATCCGCCCTCCTCAGCCTCCCAAAGTACTAGGATTACAGGCTTGAGCCACTACGCCCAGCCGACATTGACCACTATTAATAACTGGCCTTCTGACTTTGACTTTTGTGTCTTACAGACTGAGGTAATTAAAGGTAAAACTCTTGGGTATTTCTGTGAAACTCTGAAAACTAAATAGCATTCCAGGCTTGACACGATGGCTTGTGCCTGTAATCCCAGCACTTTGGGAGGCCAAGGCTGGCAGATCATTTGAGGTCAGGAGTTCAAAACCAGCCTGACTAACATGGTGAAACCCGCCCCCGCCCCGCCCCGTCTCTACTAAAAATACAAAAATTAGCCAGGCATGGTGGTGGGTTCCTGTAATCCCAGCAACTCAGGAGGCTGAGGCAGGAGAATTGCTTGAACCCAGGAGGTTGAGGTTGCAATGAGCAGAGATGGCGCCACCACACTCCAGCCTGAGCAACAGAGCTAGACTCTGTCTCAGAAAAAAAAAAAAAAAAAAAAAAAGCATCCCAGTCAAAGCTGATTTAAGCCAAATAGATTTCCCTGAAATGTGCTCAGCAAGGCTGGGGGTGAAAAGGAGGCAGCTTCTAGAATGAGGAAGGCTTTCCAGCTGCATCTTCAAATAGAAGAGCAGGTCCTTCAGGCAAACTGGGTAGGCTTAAAGAACAAAGCTGCGCTGTGTTATAAATGGCTTAGTACCAGCCATTCAGGTTGTTAAAAACTTAGAAAATCGCTAACTGAATAAATCTTCCTTGAAACTATAGAGAAGGGAAAACTTTTTCTGCCCTCTTTGGTTCAGTAGCTGGGGCCTGTGAATTAAATGAACATAACGTCAGTAAACAGGGAAAAAGCACACAAATTTTATTTAATACTTTTACATGCACATGGGAGCATTTCCTGTAATCGGAAAGGACTGAGAGCTTATATGCCTTTAAAAAAAAAGACAAAGAAAGAATGTTACATTTGCAGGGAAGTGACAAGACAAAGGAAAAGGAATTTAAGCTTGACAAATTGTAGAGAAGTCAATAGGAAAAATATGAGTAAAATTAGTGGAAGATAAGGATTATTTTAATAGGTTTGTTTCTGCAGACTGTTTCAGCATTAATTTCCAGTCTCCCATCATAAAAATGTTGTCTTTTCCTGGTACAGGGATGTCTTCTTTCTTAGGGAAAATTTTGTGACTTGCTTTTAAGTAGAAAGGGGAAGGTCAGAGAGCCCTTCATATATCTGCTGTATCGTAGGTGCCTTCAGATCACAATAATCAGTATGC